CATTGGGAGGCCTTAACATTGGAAATTTTAAAAATTTCATACTTTCTGTAAAATGTTCATGGATTCAAAGAATTGTTAAAGGAAGTCATTCATGGTTGAATATTTTTAAAATACATGTAGTTTAAGGACGAGATGTTGTGGAAAAGATTTTGAATTTGGGTGAAGATTTTTTGTTGAAAGTGTTGGAATGTAAAAATCAAACAAATTTTGGAAAGATGTTTAAGAGTCCTTGCTATCCATCATCACAGATAATTGTTTTGACAAATTTTACACACTCTAAAATTTTATCAAATCCACCTTGGCTAAACTCTTGTATCAAAGTAAATAAAAAGTGTAAAAATTATTGATTATTTTTTAGATGTCAGTGGGTCATTTTTATCTAGAGAGAATTTTTTGGAAAGACATAGCATTCATCATGTATGTTTAATGCAGTATAACAGTAATATCGGTTCTATTTCAAAGTTTTTAAAGGATACAAAATTTCTAGGGTAGGTTTTTCAAAGCAACAGCGTCCATATTTGCCATTGTTATACAAATAATGACTATTGATTGATAAATGTTCAAAACATATTTATAAAAGTATTAACACAAAGAATGTAAAGCCAACTGATTTTTCAAAATGTAATTCAGAAATGCTTTAAAAAGTATTTCAAGTTATGGAGTTGAGAGATGTTTTTAATGTGTGCTTTAAGGTGTCTTCAAATTCAGCTGTCCAATAGCTACAATTTAGAATTTACATAGAATACTTCCTGTGAATTACTACCTTAAAAAAGATTAATATAAACGAAAATGATATTTGTACATTTTATAACAATGAATGTGAAACCATATTTCATAGTCTGTTCATGTGTAAAGATGCATTGCATATTTGGAATGATCTTAGTCTACATATTTACATTTACATTGTATATATCAAAACGTATAGGTTGTAATATTCAAAATGTAATATTTGGAGAGTTACCCTTGCCAAATTCAAACTATGTCATAAATTTAGTAATTTTATATGCTTAACAGTACATTTTTCATTTCTTAAAAAATGCAAAGAAGCCTATTAATTTAAATAGGCTGATTCCAATTTAAGAATGTATTGTAACGTTGAAAAGTACATTTCTGTTAAAAATCTAACTGCAGAAAATTTTTGAGTCTGCATGGTAACATTGAAAAATTATGTTGGAAATGTAATCCTCTTAAAAGAAATACATATTTAGAACAAATGTAGCATAATTTTCTTTTTTATCCATATAAAGTGTGTAAAAAATTGCAAAAATTGATATATTGTTGATTTGTGAGTGAAGTGCGAAAGTGGGTGGGTTTGAAAAATTTTCTGTGCAATTTTGATAAATGTATTTGATTGTTTTGAAAGCACGGAAATAAGGCATTAAAAAAAGATTTTTTAATTGAAAAAGATACACGTTTTACAAGTCTTACTCTAAAAAAGCTAACAATTTATCAAATGACCATGAAATAAAATAAAATAAAATTATACTTTTTTCCGAAACATAAAAAATATGACTAATCATTGGGAAATTTCTTAATGAATTACCAGTAGTTTTTAATTTATAAACAATTTAACAAAGGAGTACATTTATTTTAAAAATAAATAGTTGAAAATACCGGGAATTGTGATTTATCTTATTTATTTATGTTTTTGCTTGTGTTTACCTGTCCAATTAATGTTTATAAAATGGTATGAACACCTTCTGTATCAATCGCCTTTGGGCAGAAAATCAATGCATGTTATATGGGTATACATGTACGTATCAGCGTTACACATCATTGGACATGCTGGTCAATAATGACCATAATTTCATTCTATGTAACGCAACAAAAATTGATAAATGCAATGTGTATAAATTTCTTTCATCTTTCATTAATTTTGAATATAGTTTTAGGTTTCCATTCTGATTTACAGATGTACACTCTAACATTTACAAGTAAAAGACTTAAAACTGAGTATTATAGATTTAGAGAAATTAACAATAATTAAATTGATATGTCAGTAAAAAAAAAATCATGACTGAAAAATAATACTTCGCAAAATTAACGAAGATTTGTTTTAAAAACCCCAATACTTTAGAAAAATTCCTTAAGAGTATCCTGATAGTACAAAATTACATGTAGTATGAAAATTATATGATAAGATTTATCTAAAGCTAATTCTGGTGGAATATAATTAATTCATATTTATTTTTCTGTATAAAAAATAATTATTGGAACCACTGTCAATCACAGAAAATAAAGAAATTGAATTAATAATATACCCGATAATTGTGATTAAATATTTATGTTCAGTGTAATTCATAAATGTGGCTGTGAAAGCCTTCTTCCTTCAATAAATATCATTTCAATTTGTTTTTATGCGCGTACTGCTCATAAATGACCTTCGCATACATGAAAACCTGGCATACTAAAAAGCATCAATTTCTACTGCCTTATATAGTTCCATTGTTTGATGGAAATCTCATTTCTGATTTAGTGCCGCCAATTAAATTAATAAACCCCACCCACTGGGACTGCTCTATGGGACCGCTAGGACTCCTGTGGGACTGCAGTGGAACTGCTCTAGGACCGCTGTGGGACCGCCCTGGGACTGTTTTGTGTCATGTTGGTTTTGGTCGGTAGTGTAGCTCAACCAATATTTTCAGCGATGATGCTGGCGTCATACTCTATTGATTGGAGATCTTTGAAGTCGATATTTGGGGTGTTGTTTGGTCAGAACCATGGCATAAATAATCCTCTTGCAATCATTCATAGTCAACTGAAAACAGTTTTGTTAGATCGTCTGTGCAGTTCAGGAATAGCCAATGCTGTAGATGACGACATTGTGTTACATTCAAGAAGTTTACGTAATCCTCTGAAGTGACGCTGTGCTGCTGATATCAAATATGATCTCCCGTATTTTTTGCGAACATTGGGTGTTCAAGGTTAATTATTTATGTTTGAAAGGTGAAATATGGTGCTGTGCATAACACTTAAACCTTTTGCAATAGTAGATTCCGGTATATCTGCTTCCAGTTGCAAATTTTCCTTTTTGTGCTATGCAACATTCGGATGCAACATTTTTAGAAAGCGTCAATTTGTGTCCGAAGTAATTGATTCAGAAACAAACAAATAAAAACTGAGATCAAATAATTTTTAGGAAGTTTGCAAAATCAGGTATTTTTGTCTGTTAGATTTGTAGAATATCTGTAAAGTTAACAATTGCATTAAAAAATAATGCATTTTACAAGAATGCATCATATCCTACTAAAAAAAATTATGAAAAAATTTTCAATTATTTTTCGAAATATTGTTCCTACTGTCCTTTTTTTTTTTTTTTTTTTTTTGAGGAGTATATATTCAATAATATCGACTCCATGTAATCCAACATTATTATCATTTATTTTTATATTGTTAGTGACTTGCACAGGAAGTCCTTCTTTGAATATCAAGTACATTTAGTATGTTCAACGGATGGAATAACATTATTTTATTACTCTGTTATCTATTTGAATATCTTTTTTTTTTTAATCAAATCTTAAATATTGTATCTGCATCTGGTAGAAGGCATACCAAAGATGTTTCGCTAATCTATTAAAAAGAGTTTTTTCATATATATAAATAAGAAAAAAAACTTAGAGGTAACAATATGATTTTTTGCCCCTGTAAACGAAGTTTTTGAGGTATATATAGTTTTTGTCGTGTCCGTCTGTCTGTTTGTTCGCAAAAACTTCAACCTTGCCAAAAACTTTTGATTTAGTAAAGCTATGACTTTCACATTTCAAATGTGTATTTCTTTGTTGTATGACCTTTCTTTAGGTACCACCAAAGAAGACCTTTTGAACGTGACCTTGGAGTTTGACCTACTTTTTACACAAAAATTCTAGACTTTTGATATGGTCATATCTTTTTTTCAGTAGATACCAAGACAGTTAAACTTCACAAATATATTTATTGTTGAAATATCTTTCAGTGGATAGAAACAACTTTGACCTTTTGACCTTGTCCTTTGAGATTTTGTAATTATAAAGAAGTTTAACCTTGGCCATAACTTTTGAACGCAAAGGACAGGACTTTCATACTTCGAATACGTAATTCCTATGAAAAGACCCATCATTGGATAACAACAACTTTGACCTTTGACCTTTGCCTTGGAGTTTGACCTACTTTAAAAAAACCTTGACAATAACTTTTAAACGCTTAGGACGAGTGCTTTCATACTCGACATATTCAAACCTTGTGAGTAGACCTTTTATTTGATAGCAAGATCTTAAGCCCTTTGACCTTAACCTTGGAGTTTGAACTTCTTTAAAAATTTTAAACCTTGGCCATAACTTCTAAACGGTTAGGGCTAGGGCTTCCATACTTTACATATGTATCTTTTGTATCAAGGACTTACATTGGATACCAATTACCTTGACATTTTGAACTTGACATTGGATATTTATGAGCCTTTGGAAAAACTTTAACCTTGGCCTACTTTCATATTTCACAATTGTATTTCCAGTGAAAAGACAATAATTTTGCTACCAATATATTAAATTTGCATTTAAGAAAAGTTTAATCTTTGCTTTGTTGCCATACTGTGCATCAGTATTGAACAACTTTTACGTGGGCCCTATTTTTTAAACGAAAGATACTAGAAATTTTATATTTCAAATTCTGTTGCAAAACCTTTCATTTGAAATCAACAAATTTGACCTCTTTACCTTCACCTTGGAGATTTCAGTACTTACAAAAAACTTTGACCTTGGCCGTAACTTTTCAACGATAAGGGCTAGCGTTTTCATACTTTCTATATGTAATTTTGAGGCAAGACCTTTTTAAGAAACCAACAATATTGAACCTTTCACCTTGTCCCCGGAACTAGGCCTATCTTTAAAATCGTTACCATTTCTCATAACATTTAAACATGTGGAGCTAGGGTTTTATCTTTTGCATTTGTTTTTTCTTAAATCGTGTATATTCGGTGTCCCTTTATTTGGTATATTTTAGAAATATATACTTGGGTTTTTAATTTGCAGAAACGACATAAATTCACCAGCTGACTTGTATCGAATTCCATGCAGTGTTTACACTACTGGACGAAAAAAGTGCTGAGAATCCCAAATTTTACTGATAATGTTTGATAATTACTGATACGGTGCTGTTCTTGCTGATAATTACTGATATTTACTGTTATTATTACTGTTGTTGCTGATAATTTTAGTTGTTGCTGATAAATACTGATAATTACTGTCGTCTTTTACTGTGGAATCTGATAAATACTGATAAATACTGTTGAGGTACTGTCGTTGCTGAGAATTACTGATAATTACTGTTGAGGTACTGTCGGTGCTGAGATTTACTGATAATTACTGTGGTCATTGTTTTTAACCTGGGAATGGATTAAAATAGCCTGAGAAATGATTATTTTTTTTTTTAAAAAGTATTTTAACAAATTCATTACAGTCAATTACAAAATAAATTATTCTAATTAAAAAAATCACGTTTTATTAACTTGTTTTCAGTTTTCAGCTATTAATTTCATTATAATTATTTTTAGACCATAATGTTAACATAAGCTTTCATAAATGTTTATGTTTTTTCTTTAAATTTCTCCTTACACGTAGATTACATTATCTGAGGAAAATTATTCTGTTGTATTTTCAGTGGTTTTTCTTCCCAAGTACTTTTTTACAAAATGTTTAAATTGTGTTCATAAAGGTTAAAAAAATCTCATCTCATATTTTGTCTCACATGTATGTGTACTGTCATCAAAAGCTTTTTGTGGGTATCTTTAATACTTCAATACAGTCAATGGTTGTAAATATCAATTTATTTTACAGTGTGGAGAACTGAAAATGCATGAGCACATTAAGTTGAAAACACCCCCCCCCCTTTCCATTTACTTTTAAATTAAGCTCTCATTTTAACAAGACAGTACAGTGTATTAAATATTTGTCATAAAATCTAGTCTTGAAGCGTACACTTTGTTATTTTATAGAAGAATGTGACAGGGTTAAATAATTAAATTGAAGGATCTTTAATTATTTTCTTTATATATATTATGTAGACAGCGCGCTGTAGTTCTCCGATGTCAGTCCTCCCTGCGAATTTTATATCATTGTGTTATATCATTGTGTGGCTTTCTCTCTCTCTCTCTCTCTCTCTCTCTCTCTCTTTTAAATTATTTGTTAAGGCTTAAGTATTGTACACTACATGACATAAATCTTATGCAGTGTGATTTTCAGTCAATGAAATAGACGTCTTTCTTTAGGCTAATTCTTTTTTCATTGTTTACAGTTTTAAGTCTATGGGCGTATATGGCTTCTAATATTATGCGCCACTCCTTAAACATGTTATATGCGGTCAGTCGGTGAATTAACTTTTTCCAATAATGCAAAGTTCTGGAACATACATGTCAACCACGTGTAAAAGTTCTACTTTCGTTTTAGAATCGGGTCAATTATTAGTACATTCTGCCATAGGGATATCGTTACGGCTTGCGTTTTTGTAAAATTAGAATTTTGTGCAGAGTACAAATTAGGCTCCGCCTCCTTTTTGTAACCTTAACTGTGCTGCGCAGGTCGATCACCGATTTCTGATCAATTGAAATCAATTTAAAGGTGTTTTCCTTTCAACTTTTTACCATGCAAAATTAAAATCGATCAATTTGATCATATACTAATAGTAACATATTAAATTAAGTCTCATTTCAGTTCTTATTTCCCATTCCATAAAATCAAATAAAAAAATTAATGAGATTTCAAAACTGATTAAATAAAAAATGATTTTGTATTTACATTTTAAGAGACAAACTAAACACATGTACCTTTGCACTAGGGATTCTTAACCTCTAATTTTTAATCAGTTCGCCCTATTCGCCGGTGGCACATGCATACAGTGTGTACTTGTACATATGTACATGTGGAGGAGTTTAATTCTTGGACGATCTACAAACGTCTACATAACATTAAAATAAATAAATAAATAAATAAATTATTAATTAAAATCAGTGCCCACAGGTTGAACATATTCAAACCTGTTTTCACCTCTTAGTTACTTTTTAAAAGGGATAACATTTCTAATTTTCGAGCAAATTTTCAAATATTTCGACAAAAAGAGACCAGAAAACTGAACATTTAACAAGATAAATACAATTGTTTTCGAGAAAAAAGGCCTTCAAAAACAAAATGTTGTCGAAACTCGACCAGTTGACCTAGTGAAAACGGAACAAATCCAACTTTTCTAACCTGCAAGAAACTTTTCTTATCCCGATTTTTTTTCCACCCATTAAGAACTTTTTTCTTATTATTGAAAAAAAAGATCACCGATCTCCCTACATAATCTTATTGGAGTCAGGAAAGGCGGCGATGGATCTTTTTTAAGATAGCATAATTTTCTTTTTATTTGCAGTTTATTTTTCAATAAGATCTTATGCAAAAGTAAAATTCCATTTTTTCTCTGCAGTTAATTTTTTTTATTAATTCTATTTCTATATATTCATTCTATTAATAATTCATTTGATTATTGTCAAAATTTTCCTAAACGTAATGTAGAAATTGAGATCATCATACATACATACAGTCATGTAACTTTGTCACAAGCAGAACATTTAAAGAAATATGAAAATTTTGTCATGATAATTCAAGTAAAAGAAAGTAATAATTGAAGGTTTTTATAGCCCTCTGTTTTATTTTAAACCAATTACCAGGTTAAAAACAATGACCACAGTAATTATCAGTAAATCTCAGCATCGACAGTACCTCAACAGTAATTATCAGCAATTCTCAGCAACGACAGTACCTCAACAGTATTTATCAGTATTTATCAGACTCCACAGTAAAAGGCAACAGTAACTAGGGCTAATTGTAACGGGAACCGTTACAGATGTTCCCCAAACGCTCCCCAACTCCCTTTTGGTGCCTTACTCCCTGTAAGCTTCATTAAATAAGACGAACTCTATGCCTTTTAGACTATAACAATGTTTTCCCAGAAGTATATTCAGTATATTCAAATTTATGCATTGTACACATGCGCATTTGCATGCATGTGCATAATGACCATAACATCTTGTCTACACTATTTATATACTAGAAATTACAGCGTTTTATCCAAATGTATTTAAAAATACGTTTTAATCTAGTGTATTTGTAATTTTACTCATTTCACGTGCACGCACGTGCATGCATGTGCATGTCGACTGTATCTTCTTGTAGGAGTCTGTTATGTTTGTCTATGTTCTAAATCCCATCCTGTTTGGTTGAAAAACGAGGAAGTTATAGCCATTTTAAGTTTAAGCCAATCAGATTGCAGCGCACGTGTATGTGCATGTTTTCACGACAACAGTTATATATAATATTGTAGGACATCCTAATGCATGATTATGTTTAAAATTTTAAAGAATTTCGTCAAAATTAAAAAAAGATATTGCGATTTTTGTTTCAGCGAATCACAGCAAAGCACACGTGCATGCACGTGCATGCCTGTGCATGACGACCATACCTCCTTCTGGGAGTCCATTATGTCTGTCTATGTTCTAAATCCCATACTGTTTCTTTGAAAAACAAGGGAGTTATAGCCTTTTAAAGTTTAAGCCAATCAGATTGCAGCGCACGTGCATGCGCGTGTTTACATGACAATTGTTATATATCATATTGTAGTACATCCTAAAGTATGCCTATATTTTAAATTTCATAGCATTTCGTCAAAAAACAGAAAAGATATTGAGATTTTTGTTGCAGCCAATCAGAGCGAAGCGCACGTGCATGCGCGTGAGTTCGTGCTAATTTGACAGTGTCACATTATCTACACTATTAATATATCCTTATTAAATGAGTTTTAAAATATTTCATCAGAAAATGTTAAAGTTATGGCTATATAAAGTACATCCGTCATTTCACTCATTTCACGCGCCCGCACGTGCATGCGTATGCGCGCAAAATAACCTTCGTGTTGCACACCTACACTACACACCTATTAACCCTAAAAAGGTTTTAGCTCAGTTGGGTGAACAGTTTCTGAGAACACTCGCGGACAAAAAAAGTACCGGAGAACAAAGAAGAAAAAAAAGAATAATAACTAGAAAGTCTGCTATTGCAAGCAATAGCATATGTCGCCCCGTATTGGACAAGACTTTCATTTTTATCATCACTAAAACAATGGTCCATTAGCTAAGCTTGGACAACCATCCAGTCGTATCAGTTCTTTCCGTTGGAAACGGAAGACCTTAATTGGGTACATCCCACTCATTATTTTTAGAATCTGTAGGAGAAGAAAGTAGTGCAGGAAAAAAATTACAGACTTGCATAAAAGAAATTGGGCAGATGTACTGAACTGAGCCTCATACTTGTTAATTGGCAGTATCTTTCCTACCAAAAAAGCTTGGCAAATATTATTTATTAAGAAAAGATCAGCCGAATTATTTTGTGTATTATAACGCCAGTGAGAACTCAGAAATTTCCCTACTTTCACTTTAATTTTTAGAGGTTCTGCCGGAAAACGAATCTGACATGCAACCTTCAATTCGAGCCGGAATCATGATCATTTTCGGCGAGATGAATGTTTTGTTTACATTAGTGATCAAGGCGTAGCGCACCTATAGGAGCGGATCCAAAGATTTATGAATGAATAAAAACTATGGAAATAACGTACCAATTTTCTAATTTATTCTTGCACTATTTAATGAAATTAATAATATACAATTTAATATATATACCAAAAAACGCGAAATGCTAATAAATGCAGTTGACAATCGTTATTTTTTATATAGAAAAAATAAAATAATTATAAAATCTAGAGACAAGACAGAAGAAGAATGACTGTTGGCAAACTATCAAATCACATCAGGAGAACTGAATTTTATGAATGAATCTTTTAAAAGGTTACTTGTAAATTGTGTATGTTATATCTGTGTATTCTACCTGGCAGTGCGCTTCAAAAAGGGGGGGGGGTCGTCTTGAACATAGTACCTTACGTTTGAACGGTAAGGGCTAGGGCTTTCGTATTTCAAATATGTAATCCTTGTGAAAAGAACTTTTATTGGACACGAAGAACTTTGACCCTTTGACCTAGACCTTTGAGAACACATGTGTACATCTTAACCTTTTTTTCTGTTTCGTTTCTATGACAACTGTGAGCGACTCATTACAATTATTTTAAAAGAAGAAATCACTTTGACACATTGCAAGGCATTAACATTGAAAGTTTCAAAACGATTGCTTGAGTAGTTATTGAGAAAATCGAAATTAAAGAATTTTAACATTCCCCTGGTTTCCATAGCAATAAACGATTATTTGAAAATTTTAAATGCAAGGCGCACAACTACAGATACTAATCATTAAAATAAAAAGAGTTTCATGACGAACGTTTAAGGGACCAGAGAGAACACTCTCGGACAAAATTCGTCGCTTTTTACAGGTTTCCATGGCAACGGTAGACATATTGGAACTGAACGACCTCACTGCACAACTACAACAAGTGATCATCCTTTGAGAAAAGTTTCAGGAAGATTGCCCCAGCCATCTCCGAGAAACAGCCTGGATAAAAAAAACATGCGTACAATATCAATATGTCGTCCCCGACTTCGTTCGGGGCGACATAATAATAATAATAAGAAACCGAGTAAAAACAATATGTTCCCAAACTCCGTTTGGGGAACATAATTATCAGTATTTATCAGAAACAACAAAAAATATCAGCAACAACAGTAATAATAACAGTAAATATCAGTATTTATCAGCAACAACAGCACAGTATCAGTAATCATCAAACTTTATCAGTAAAATTTGGGATTCTCAGCACTTTTTTCGTCCAGCAGTGTTAACATAGTGTTGAGAAACCTAACAGAAAGAAATGGGCATTAATCAAAGAGTGACTGTGATAGCTATCGTTGTTTTGATTTTTGTTTTGAAGTCGATTTTGTCTTCTTCAACACCACCATTTTCAACAGGACGTACGTATTTATTCTTGAATTCTACTGTATATGAAAATTGTCTGAATTAAAGGAACATGTTAGAGGAGAATTATAATTATGTTCCCCAGACGAAAGTTTGGGGTCATATGCTTTTACTTCACAGAAGACCTTATAGTGATTCTACTGTTTCTAATTATTATTAAGGTCTTCTTTCAAAGTCTACGAAATAATATTGATAATTCTCTGAAGTCTATAATCAGTATTAAGCCGTATTTCGTTTTGAAAATATCGATTACTAAATATTTTTAACTATTTTGAGTGAAGGATCGTTCGTTTGCGTTAGCAATCCTGTAAGGTCGTGTAATGTGTAGAATCGTGTACGTGAAGAATCGTTCGTGTAACAGGTTTTATTGTGCGGAATCGTTCCTGTAAGTTGTCAACAATAACGTTGCAGCCACTGTACTCTAAGAAAATAGCTGTGAGAAATCTAAATGAGAAAAACTCATGCATGTTCGTGCGTTCGAATCTGAAAAGTACATGTAAACGCCACAGGTTCATATACATGTAAATGTTAAACTAATATACAGTCATTCCCGTATAATTCATACAATTACCAAGTCCATAGTATTGAAAAACGAATTTAAGAGCAATGATATAATTTTGTGTTTGATTGATAAAGTAAACATCCTTTGTTAATGAAATGAAATTTTACACGTAAATCTTTCTTCGTTTTGTTTTTATGGCCATTCCAACTCACCACATGCAAGAACTCTGTAACGGAGGTTATAACTCAGTAAAAGCAGCTGTAAAGTTATTAAAATCTTTGTTCATGTTTTAATTTTTATTGAACTTCGAAGCTTTATCAATATACAGCTAAATTATAACAGAAGAAATTCTGAACTGCAAACATAAAAAATATTGACTAAATATGTGTAAATCCAGATAACAGAATTTCTGGACAATAAAATAAACACTATTTTCCAGTAGGAATATTGCCAAGCAATCAGAATATTACATTACTTGACCACTTGATTTGAAAAATGAAAGGATATATCTTTAGAATGAAAGACCTTTTCTGATTATAAATTGACCACTTTTAAAAGAAAAGTTGATATACAAATTGCTCCAAAATTGTAACGGAGGTTACACAAACTCATTTTGGAGATTAAGAGATAAAAATACTTCGTAAAACGTGTCAAACACACTTTGAAAATAATGTATTTACACAATTAAGAGTAAAACTTAACTGTTTTCCCCTCTATTTTAAAGCAATTTACCAAAAAGTGTGTTTCGTTACGGAGGTTATTATGAATATTTAAAAAAAAGTGTACAGCGAATTTTAGACTTCCTATCAGCTTTACAAACTTATGTCGCTCAGCATTACGAAGGGTCAATCAACTTACTCAAATATTTATTAATATGTTACTGTCTTTTTTAACTGCAAATGTGAAAGTGAAGATTTAAACTTCTATAACCTCCGTTACAAAATTCGTTTCGAAGAATCGGTGTGAATGCGTTTACCGAATGGTGAATTTAAATAAGAATAATTGAAAAACATACTTTATTTGTAAAGAATGGAAAAAAATATTTGTTTTAACGTTTTTTAGGCAAATACATTTATTTAAAAAAAAAACCAAATAATTTTAACCTCCGTTACGAAATACCTTACTGAAAACTGTAATAATGAAGTGATTTATTGAATCATTGTGAAGTAACTGTCACCATGGTCACACATAAGCATAATTTTTTAAGAAAACTTATTCAATATATCAGAATATGTGAAAAATTCACTAAAAGACACGAAAATTCACTTTTTGCAGAAAAACCCAACCTCCGTAACATCGCTGGTTTTACATATAAAAGAGCATAATTTCACTGTATACCGCTGATAGTTCACATAAGGGTGACCTTTTTGTGCCCATACGCATTACGGAATATTAGACATTTACAAAACGAAAAAGAAACAATATAATTATTATTTGTAATATGCAAAAACATCTAAGTTAAGGCCATTTTTACCACAACATTTTCAAAAATACCTTTATTTTATGCTTTAAACTCATTATGATTCTTATATTCCATTTTGTTGTCAACTTAAAGAGTAAACTTCCAGCATTATCTGGTAGATTTAAACACCTGAAATATTGCACACGTCAGATTTTGTTGATTTTCTGTTACGGAGGTTAGGGGTTACGGAGGTTAGAACCATCAATAATATCTTTATTTCTGAATTGTTGTTTAATTTTCCTTACATTTGTTTTTTGTTTACTAGACATACCCATTGGTGTCAATCAACTGCCTTGAAATAGTACTTCACATAGCCTCTGTTTCTTCACAATCACTGTCACGTAGGTTAGGTTCTTATATGCGACATTATAAAAAATCCGTATCTTTAAAAATTTTGAACATGGATTTATTAATTTGCTTAAAAAAGGATTCTGTGCTAAAGTTTTAATATATATTAGACACAAAAACACAGTTTTAGCTCTACTAACGATATATTGCATTATCTTAAAAACTATTCAAACACTGTTACGGTAGGTTAGGTGAAATTTGGCGACAGCAATGATCAAGGTCTGTTTAAAAAATTATTATTCATTTACCAATTAAAGTTTCATTTATATGATTTTGACATGTTTCTTCATTAATTAAAACAATTTTTGTTTGTTTAGAACAAAATGCGACCAGGTTATGCACATTTAACCAGCAAGGTATACGTTGGCGACATCGCCTTTTACACGATTCCGGACTTCCTTTTGTGTAAATACTCGGAGAAAAAATATCAAAAAATATAACAGCTAATATTATTTTGTGTGGCAAAATATGTTAACATAAAGGGTCAAGGAATAATTTGAATATCAGTAACCATAGCTTTGAAATGTATCGAAATGTATTGGCGACATAGCGTTTTTTCATTTGTATGAATTATACGGGAATGACTGTATAATCAGATATGAATATGGATACATGCATGCACGTGGTCTGATTTCGGATTAGTTAATATTCATGTTACTGCAACTTTCTTCGAATTCATAGAAATTCTTTGAAAATCTAAATATAGAGTTTTTTTTAAATTTTGTATTCTTTGACATGCTATAATGTATATGGTAATTTTCGAAATCGTATGCACATAGGTTTTAATTAGATTCAAAATTGATTCCTTATGTTTATTGTTCCATGTGTGCATAGTTTCAATCGCCATAATACTTTAGAAAAATTAGAAATACCAAGAATTTTGTAAGTTTAGAAGAGGTACGTGTAAAATGTAATTGGGCCCCATGTAGCAGGAGCATTTTGGAAACATCAATTGTTTCCTTTAAAATTGGAACTAGTTCACAATATGAGTTTTTTTTTTGAAGATTTATTCTTGTAAAATTTACAACGGCTATATACAGTTTAAAGAGGTTTTTTTGTATATCAGAGGCACTGTCTTGGAACTTGGATGAGGAACAATTTGAAAGAATTAAAGTAAGGAACGGCTCGAAATTGAGACTATGGTTTAAAGGTCCTAAGTATCCTAGTTCAACCATAACATGGTACAAGGATGGAAAGAAAATAAAGAATGTGACCAGCAGGTGAATTTTCAAATCTTAATTTTATTGCAATATCTTACAAAATGCAAAGTAGACTAGTATTGGTGCTTTTATTCCAAATACACAGGTAAAATTGCAACGCATGTTAACTATATGTTTTGAGAACCATATGTTGAACATTAGTTAAACATGCGAGGGCTGTTCGGAAACTATTGAGACAATTACATTTACTCCATAAAGGACGGAGATAATTTCATGAAAATTCATCAACATTTCATAAAGAACGAATAAAACACTTACGCAAAATTTCTAAATCCTATGATAATAAGAAAAGTTTCGGTGAAATAATAAATATGCATATGTCTATCGACCCGGAGCAGCATCACTACGTCATTTAACGTCACGTCAGCCGGAGATGGTTTCGCATGTTAAATGATCGGGAAGCGTTTAATACTTTTCCTTTTTTGTAATTACATATAACAGTACAAAAAATCAAACAGTCTCTTTTCTTAAACTATTCCTTAACAATGTATGCTGTTGCTACTTGAGTGTAAAATTTTCATTTGTGGGAAAAGATGACTTGAAATCATGCAGTGCCGATATATGCAATGCGGCATTAATACCGTAACGATATTAATACAGTAGTACGTAATATTTGATGGTCGTCCGGAACTTTTGATTTTTCTCTGGTTGAATTAATTGTAAAAATAAAAATGTATACCAATGAATTAACAAACCCTAACACATTTTTTTCTCGTTTGTATTGTTTAAGCAGGTCATTGAGTCTGGAAAAGAGTTCAACATTGCGCTACACAAAATATTAGGTATGTTCGCTGCTCCGCCCTTGACGTCAAAATCCATTTTTTCGTTCTTAGCAGATTTCTCTACCGCGCTTATCCGTATTCCTGATCAAAATTATAATGAATTAAAAATAAAGCTAAAAAATTATACAAACAAACTGAATTATTATCGCTCTTATTATGGGTCCACGAAGAGTTAGAATGTTAGTGTTACATATTTTTGATATCCGATTTCGAGACTGCTCCGGGTACATCTACTGATGAGGCGGCATTTATAGACCATTGTTCAGAAAACATTTATTATTTGTAAAATATTTTTTTGCTTTTATTAATCCTTAGTGTATGTCAAATGTATATGCAAATTTTCACCGAAAGACGGTCATTAGAAAGCAAAATATACACAATGTCTCAATAATTTTCGAACAACCCTCGTACGTTCAACATATGCATTTTCCACAGTATGTTTAAATCTATAACATATGTTTAAAACCTATGTTGAACATATTTCTAAAACATATGTTGAACATATAGCCGACTCAAATCAAATGTTGAACATATGTTTATGGTGACCATATGTTAAACATATGTTTAAAGTATGTTAAACATATGATTATTTCAAACATATGTTTCTGAGTTTGAAACTTTTTACAATCAAACATGTCCAACGTCAGGAAATGTTCAAATTAGCTCATTTTTTCTGCCAACAAAGTTAACTTTAAGTACATTTTAGATAAATTATATATTTAATTCGAAATAAACTAAGTTCAGTTATCTATATTAATTTTTGGGTGACATTTTTTGGACTGTGTATACCATTCATAGACCCCCTAGAAAGAAATCCTGGATATGCGCCTGCTTTAAAGCCTAATATAAAGTATACAAAATCTATTTTATGTTAATTTTCAAACGAATGGACTTCATGTGAGATAATAAATTCTAAAAAAATATATCAAGAAGATGAATATTTGAATTTATATTTATTTACAAGAATAGATGATTATTTCTTGTATAGTCTGTCCCACGAGCAGTGTAACGACGAAAAGTGACCCCTGTAGAATATTGACCGGGGGTCATTTTTCTACGTAAAAATTTGATCCCCTGGTCAAAATTTTACGAAGAAAAATGACCCACTTTTTCGTAGAAATCATAGCCTTGAGGACGTTTTTCTCCGTGTGCATTGTAGAAAAATGACCCCGTAGAATAATGACCCCTTGTCATTTTTTGATTCAAAAACATTCGTTTTAGTAGGAATATTCCTGTTAGGCGAATGCATGCGGGTAATATCAAGCGTCCTTATGATATGAAGTGTTCATTTCTGAAAGCCTTAAGCTTAAATAAAGTAACAAACTCAAAGCTATATACTATACCTTACATTAATTATACAAACCGTTTTATTCCCATTAAGGACAGATGATACAAACAATTTTTTCTTTGAAAAGATTAAATATCATGTCACAAGTTTAGAAAAGTGGATGGTTCTTTGAATTTTTTCTCCGAAGAACTGGAAAATGAAATAGATTTTGAAAATATTAGTAATATTTCAATAAATAAACGAATTTTGACAAATCACAATCAGTAAAGATTTACAGGTAAAAATAAATTTCAGAATATGTTATCCTGGCGCTAAAAGTGTAATATAAACCAAAAAAAAAATAAATTTACCAGGCCAGGTGAATTTTAAGAGGAAGATCGAAATGACAAAATATTTCAAAATCACATATTAGGCTGATTTTTACCATTTAGCTTTTCCTAATAAAATTCACCTGGCTCGGTATTTTTTTTTTTAGTTTATATTACACTTTTAGCGCCAAGATAACATATGAAATTTATTTTCACTTGTAAAGCCTTACTGAGTGTGATTTGTCTATATTTGTCTTTTCATTGAAATATTACTAATATATTCCAAATCTTTTTCATATTCCAGTTTTTCGGAGAAAATATTCTAAGAACCATTAACTTTTCCAAACTTGTGACATGATATTTAATCTTTTTCAAAGATAAAATTTGTTTGTATCATCTGTCCTTAAAGGATGATAATTTAATTTCACTTGTATCAAGCAATTTCATTTGCTGAATCATTCAGAGGAACATATAATATTTTGTATAACAAAACTTGCCTACGTCACAATGAGTTACATCAAAAACGTATTACTCCGCTTTACATTACTTTTGAAGTAATATTCAATTTAAAGCTTTTCTGATATTTCCATGACATGATAGACTACATAATGTAAGAGTTCATTTGTATTTGCAAAGTCAGTGTCTGAGAAAATTTCAGAAGAAAGTGGATGAATTTATTGATGTTTGTGTACTATTATTCACTCAGATGTAAATGTTTGCCCGTTTTGGGGTATTTTTTTCTATTTTATATCATTGTAAGAACGTTCTCGATGTGTATGGTACTAGTATTTCCCATATTCATGTACATGTAGGAAAAAGTGTAATACCTTATATAAGGTATACTGAGAGAGCAGTTAAAAATATGTATTTTAAAGCAAAGTACAAACAGATTGATTGATTGTATATTGTTTAACGTCCCACTCGAGGAGCAAACAGATATATGTAAGTTTAAACGTGAGAGCTAAAGGAATTGAATTTATAGAGTTAAATTACGTTCCCTTGCTTTTCATGGTTTTATGCAATGATTTTTGGATTTGTAAAATTTTCAAGATTGAATTCAGATGGTTAAAAGTGCTAATTTTGGGGGCCCTTAATAGTTTTTATTATACCTATATTGATGATACTCGAATTTCACTAACATTCAGTAATGGTTTACAGGTAAAAATAAATTTCAGAATATGTTATCTTGGCGCTAAAAGTGTAATATAAACCTTGGAAAAATATACCAAGCCAGGTGAAATTTAAGAGGAAGATCAATATGACAAAAAATTAGCAATATCACATAGGCTGATTTTTACCATTTAGCTTTTCCTAATAAAATTCAACTGGCTTGATATAATTTTCTGAAGTTTATATTACACTTTTAGCACCAAGTTAACATATTCTGAAAATTGTTTTCACCTGTAAACCTTTACTGAATATGATTTGTCTATATTTGTTTTTTCATTGAAATATTACTAATACTTTCCAAGTCTTTTTCATATTCCATTTCTTAGAAGAAAAATTTCTAAGAACCATCCACATTTCTAAACTTGTGAGATGATATTAAATCTTTTTCAAAGAAAAAATTTGTTTGTATCATCTGTCCATACAACGCATATCCGTAAAATTTTCATTCAATTTCTAATTGTTTTTCGGACACATTTTTGAGTATGACCCTTCGTTTACTGGAATACGGCAGATCCTATGGTTTGCTGTACTTGTTTTTTTTTTCTTTCTGATAGATGTCTTGCTAAGTTTAGGAAATGAAACAAGTCAAAGATTGAAAGAACTCGCAAATTTTGTTGATGTGGCAAAACATTAACTTCCTGTTTATCCCTAAAACTCCTTTACTCTTCATGGCCTATGGGTTTGGACGCCGTCATGAAGACACTTAATGTAGTGAATTCCTCATATTGTTTCCTTCCTCTCTTAAACCTTTCAATTGTTTTGCAAAAAAATGTTTTCTAGACTCCTCCATGAATTGAACTACCTCCCAGAATATGAATTTGAGCAACAATACCGGTAATATTTAAGAAAATAGCATATAGAACGGTTTTATTCTCATGCAATTCTTTGCTCTTCTTAGGCCTTTGTAGTTTTGTCAAGTGCATCTTATTGCAAATTTGTTTTCTGGGCTTAAAGCAAAATGGATTCAAGTTTCATTATCTGTTAGAATTTCATACAAACGTTGATAAGTACAATTTTTGATTTTTAAAAATAATTCTTTGGATATTCCTACGCGCTGTCGTTTTCACTTATTTTTCAAAATATAGGGTGACCTTTGAGTATTAAACATTTTTACTATAAAATGTTCCTTTAAAACAGTATGAACTATGCCCAAAATGAATTTTATCAATTTTGCTATGTGTCTTAAAGTCGATAAAACATAATCAGTGATAATTTGTTGAAATTTCGCAAATTCACATTGGTAGTTATAAATCGTTGTTGCCAAGGACGGTACCCATTTTTGATGCCCATTATATAATTTTTGTTTATTGAAATCTACTTGTTCATCTGTCTATAAAACAGGCATTGGTTGCTGTAAATTTCACATATTTCATGTTATATATTGTTGGGATATTAAGAAGTTTTACAGCTCCTTTAGACCCCTTCCCCACAGTCACGCATTTTAACGCATATACCGTTGCCCCACAATCACGCATTTCAACACATATATCTTTACCCCACAATCACGCACTTTAACGCACATTGCGGTTTTTTTTTTGACGTTTTCTGCTCTGATACCGCGTAAAGTTTGATGGTATGACAATAAATGATAAATAAAACATTTTTAGATTCCATTCTAATATATTTCGTAATTAGGAATATTTTTTCCTCGTTTTAATATGTCCGAATAGTTCGATTTATTAGACGAAACTTCGGATGCGAGACAAATTACGAAGGTCTTTCTTTTGACACTAAATAAGCTCACCACTTGAACCACTGTGTACTTTCTATTTAAACATTCCAAATTCAACTGTCACAATTTGAAAAAGTTAATGCTTACATGTATAAGCTCATCTGAGCCTTACACTAGAATGAGCTTTTTGGATTGAAGTTCCTTGTCTGTTGTAATTGTCGTCATAGTTAACTTTTCACAATTTCATCTTTTACATAGTTTCAAATCACATAACATAAAACTAAATTACTTGCAGAGTTTTTTTTTTTTTGGTATTTCCGAGAGCAGAAACTTTACATTGTAGCCTCAACCCATGCTTTAACATGAGAATTTTTCAAATCGTTTTATGAAATGTCCTAAAGTGCTAAAGGTAATTATTTTTTGTGGTAATATATTTTAATTAATAATACATGTTATTATCATGACACTTGGACTTTTTAATTATTTAATCATTATTCTTCATCATTTCAGAAGCAATTTATTTTCTCTCAGGAAAATGAAGCCAGAATTGCAAAAAAATGAAAAATAAATACAGGATTAATGCTTACAATTTTGTTCTTTTAATTTCCTATTGTTTACCTGAGGCATTTAAGGCAAGTTTTATATTTAGCTCACACTGCATTCCAAGGAAATACCAATTAATAATAGGAAAATGTAAGAAAGAAATAGAATTAACATATGCTCAACATGTGAAAAACATATGAATATAAACGTAAGTTCATCATACGATCATACAAAACATGTGAATGACATATGTTAAACATATAATCATTATATGTTTAGAAACATATGTTGACCATATATTGCTCGTTTTAATGGCGAACATATGTTTTGGAACATATGTTTAACGTATATTCAGCATAATTATGTTCAACATACGTTGAAATTTTACCTGTGTAGCTCTCTCTCTCTCTCTCTCTCTCTCTCTCTCTCTCTCTCTCTCTCTCTCTCTCTCTCTCTCTCTTGAACGTATTGAAATCAGTATTTGATTTAACTTCTATTAAAAATTTAATTTTTATAATTATACCCTCATTTCAATGTATTAAAAAAACGAACAGTATTCAACTTCAATATTCCATAAAAATAAGAGCATAGCGCATACGGACCCAAAAAACACCAACGGTGGGATCAGGTGCCACGGTTGAGTTAACATCCCCAGTCGCACCCGCTGTGTGATCCTTGTCATGATAGGGAAATAACGAAAAAATCTGTCTTCAAGTAAGTGTGTAAGTAATATGGTATGAAAAAACGTATGAAAAAACGTCAGTCAGCATTTGACTCAATGATAAATTGTATTTGCTGACAAGGTCATTGTATCGACCAAAGAACTTTAGAAATGATGACTTTAGACAAGACTGCTAACTTTCTTGTTTCACAGCTTGTTTTTGAATAACTTAAATCGTTTTAAGAAATTTTTCATACGTATAGTATGCTTTAGTGTATCGAATCAATTGAGATATAAACCCGAATGTAGTTTGTGAAAATATGATTAAGAAAATACATTGTGTGTAATATTGTCAAAAATCCATCATTATGTATTGTATTGTAATTGTATTGTAATTTCAATACATTAATTTTTAACTTTTATTTTTATATATTTTTGAAGACTCAAAATCAAACAGAGTTCCCTGGTAATATTAAAATTAGAGGAAGATGACAGCGGCGAATACGCTTGTTACAAACAAAATCAACATGGCGAGGTTTGGAAAAATTACACACTTACCGTTACAACAGGTATTTTATGTACTCTTTGTATTAATTAAGTTAAACGTAAATCCGCCTGTTTTTTCTCCATAGTCTGAATTTTATTAATAGAATGTAGTTATTTTGACAACTGAAAAAGAAGAGATGTGTGATTTTTTTTTCAGAATTTTCGTCCATCAGTTTTATCTGTTTTTCAATGAATATAAATTATTTGTGTGTGGAAAACTGTAAATTCTTATTATAGGCGAGGAATTAATTATCGCGTAATTTCGCGAGAAGCACCGCTTGCGAAATAAAATAACTCGCTTTTATTTTTTTTTTGATGCTGAAATCTGTGCAAAATCTCTTGATAAACAGTCCATTCGCGAGATATTATTCTCGAGATATGACTTTGAGGAGCCCATTCGCGATAATAAGTACTCGCGAAAAATTAGGAATCTTTAGTACATCTAATTTGTGTGTACGATATGGCATGTAAAACGTTGTATTTTTATATTTTTGTTACTTTTTATTCAGAGAACATATTTTTAACAAAAAATATATTCCAATTAATTAAAATGTAACCCCTATACAATTAAGTTGTAATTCTTATTCGAGAATATGTGGTTTGTTAAAACGCGAAACGTAGCAACAACGCAAAATGTAATAAACCTGGATGACTACTAAAGTTGCAAATGCAGTATTTATCAATTAGTATGTTGGTGACCACGTTTCAAATAATCAAGACGTAATTTTTCCTCTATTTACTGCATTATGGCGTCATAAAATGCGTCATTTTCCTCATATTCTGTAAATTCCTTTGAAAATGGCAAACTGTTGAAGTATTTTTTTTTTCAATATTTCATAGAGAACACAACCTTTGATCAAAAGTAGGCAAATACATAATGAAAGATCTGTGAGATTTAAAAAAAAATGTTTTATTTTTTGGATCATGGCTGTATTAAAACATTTTAATTCTATGCAGAAAGTAGTCAAATACACAGTCATGTTTTCTGCAGATTTCAAGAACATTGCAATTTCTCAAAGCCTCTTTTCCAATATCTGGATTCTGGAGAAGAAATTTTATTATACGAAATAAAAGCATTAAGTCTCTACTTTATTTTTATATTTGAAATAAGAAAAGGGTGATATAAAACTGCATGCGAATTTTAGCGCTAATGCAAGTGGGAATGCATCGGTGCAAACAAATTTTAGCGCTTGCACTTGTCAGTAAAATATATTAATGTGAAATTTTGGAGGTTTTTTTATCCACACCCGTATTTGACTTTTTGGTTTGTCAAGCACGGAAACACATTAGACTAGTACTTCGATATATATATAAGTAAACATTCTTTACCGCGGTACGTGTTGCTATCAGATGGACGTGATGCAGTGTTAAAATTTATTTTTTATTTCTTTTTTTAATCAAAGGAATAGAGTATTTACTCATTTAAATCATATTAAAACAATGCATGAATCGACAGAAAATTACTTAAATAAAACGGTAATCCTAATCAGGTATTGTCTACAAGCTCAATCGCCATACTTGATTGCATTGTTTACCTCGATGCGATAGATGATTGACACGCTGAGAAGCCAAACTTTGAGTGATAATAATAGGCTAACAACTACTGGGGTAACAATAGTTTAATTAAATTAAAATTTGGCAGAATTTTCTGTCTTCCGTACAAGTGTGTATATAAAATCCAATGACCCTTTGATATTATGTAGTCACGCATTCCGGTTTACCTGCACTCACGTAAACCTTGAACACACACACACACACACACAAAATGATATTTAGAAATCCTTTAGCGCACATTTAATTTTAGCGCTCAGGGGCTCTTGCGCCAAAGGCGCTAAAATTAGTAGTGCAACAAATATTCTCGTTTTACAGTAGTTAATTAATTGATACAAAGACAGGACTAATGTATGTAGGAAGTGAACCTAGCTCTTTTTATTCCTTTTATTAGAAGAAATTTTCAAATATATATCATTCATATTCGAAAACATGAGTTGCCTGTCTGATGACGTCTTATTCATATTTGAAAATATGGTATTCCTCTTTGATAGTTCGAATTCTGTCATTCCTCTTTGATAATTTTGTCATTCTTATTTGATAATAGTGTAAATTTGAATGCAATAAACTTGTTTACCCTATCGAAAGCATATGTGCTTCCTCTTAGAAAACCTTACATTCCTTTTTGGTAATCTTATTTTTCTTATTTGATAATTTTATCATTCCCCTGCGATGTTTCTTTCATTCTCGATACAGTAAATTCAATAACTACAATCTGAGTAATATGGCAAATAATGACTGTATACTAAATTCTAAATGGTTTATAAAGTGAAAGTAAGATTAAGCGGGAATCTGCAGGAAGGTCAAATAGAACCATATGCGCTGAAGTTACTGAAGTTTCTTGTAAGCAAAAGTCCTGTTACACGGGCTGCTATAAGAGTATAATTTTGTTTACTTTGTATGGAAATGGACACAGCTTAAAAATTATAAGTGGGAATGTATTTGAGAACTTTAAAGATTGGACAAGCAGACCGTAAGAACATTCGCCAAAAAAGTGTTTTTTTTTTCATGGCAACAAAAGCTAATTTGAAAGATCAAAATGTTTAATGAACATAAAGAGTTTGTCATCGCCATACCAGTTTCATACAAGTTTCATTAAGTTTGTTAAAGTCATCTCCGAGAAATTGTTCGTACAAAATAATAGGTCTAGGGATAACAATAAGTCTTTCTGACATAGATTCTGTAATAACATAAAAGAAAACCTTTAACCAGTAGCCCCTGTAACGTATATTTTCTGCAATTTCATTTGTGTACAGAGAACACAATAGGTATAATAAAGAGAAACACATGTATAATGCTGTTAGACACCTTTAAGTTCCATGTGCGTCTTGTGTTTATCCAAAAAACTCCAGAAAATTACTCGTTAATATACTCAAGCATTGTCATCGATCATATCTTTTCAACCTTGTTTCTTTGTATTGTGGCATTTTTCAACTGGGGTCACTTTTTATAGGTTGTGCTCATAAAGAAATATTTAAGTAACTGATTAAAATTAGCAATTTGCAACATCAATGACAAGTAATGGCAACAAAATGGTGCTCATTGCTGACCGATATTATCTCAAACAGTCTGAATAATCCTATCTAGGGTACACTTATGTGCGAGACGCCCAAGGATTGTCTAACACTACTAAAAGGATACTATAGGTACTGTAACTATAGTTCACTATAGTTTACTAAAGTTTTCTATAATTTACAATAGTAAATCGAATTGTACAAGTTATCAATATAGTAAATCAAAGTTTTCAAAGTAATCAATTTAGTTAAAGTTTTCATATTGAACACTATGGTTAATCATGGTTTTCTTAGTTATTATTTAAGTGAATGAAAGTGTCATAGTTATAACAATAGTTATCAAATGTTTCAAAGCTTTCATTTTAGTAGATCAAAATTTACATAGAATCAAATTAAGTTATTACTAAAGTTAAGTATAGTAAACTATAGTTACATGTAAATATAGTAAATATTTTTTGTATGGGAAGTGTTGACCAAAATCTGTGTGATGCCCTGGCCTGCAAAATCCCCGGATCTGAATCCCATTGAAACCATTAGAGACTTTCAAAAGGAAAGTCAAATCCTCCTGCCTCCCAACGCAATGTCAATTAATAGAAAAGAAAGATCCATACAGTAGGTGTGGCGGCAGATAGGCCAAACTTCTATGCAGACGTACGTTGTATCGATGAGTAAATGATGTCTTGCAGTAATATAATGAAAGGGAGAGGTGGTTTTACTCCATATTTACATGATGTATAATTTGAAGTGAATTTTGAGGATACATCATGTCCTTGACACTTTCATCATAAATCTGACTAGATATTTAAATGTAATTTACTCAGCTTTAAACTGAAATAACCATGCATCATTAACTACGAATTGAAGAAATTACTTATTGTATACATTTGTTCTTTTAAATTAAAAATGTTGGGTGAACATGTACACTTAGAAGTTTAGTTCAGTGATTTTATTTTTAAATCTTATGATAACAATCATTATTGCTTAAGGGACTCGAGGGGGGGGGGGGGTATTAAGATCCATGAACTCCATTTATTTGAAAAAAAAATGTTGAGTAATTTTTGTCTATCATTAAGATCCACTGATAACAAAACCTGTGATTCAAAGCCCTCTGAACCAGACTGTAGCCTATCTGGATGATGTGAAATTTCAGTGTAAGGTGATCATGAATTCTACTTCAACTAACATCCAATGGTTTAAACATTACCAGGTGAACGGATCATATACTAATGAGGATGGTGTGCCGTATGTCCATGTTATACAGGTATCATTTTTCACACATTTTTTTTCAAATTCAATATTTAAAGCATCACACTTTATTTCTTAATGCACAATCCACATCATACAATGTGTATTTCTATTTCGATTGACAAAGATACAAATTAATTTTTTAAAACTCGATTTCTTGACTTGGTGGCATGTCTCTAAAGAATTTGCATTAAGGAATATTTTCCTCTTGCGCATTTATTAAATAAACAGCAGGTTTTTTCTTATTTCAGCAGAGCTTTCGTTTAGGTTTTTCTTGTACACAAAATATTTCAGAACAAAAGACAAATCAAAGAGGAGTTTCTCTAACAAATGTAGGAGGAAAATCACATCTGTTTATATTTGAAATTGCGTAACATAACCTAAAACGAACAAAACAACATAAAATGGCTAAATAAGAATGCATGTTTTCCTAATGGGACCACCTATTTGTATACACCTATCTTGTTGTTTGTTTGTTTTTTCGTGATTCAGTTATATAAATAAGAAGGCAAGTTTTAACATGTATTGTCTCATAGGCATTTATGCCTGCTATTCAATCCAATTCAATGAATAAAATATATTTTAAACTAACATGTTTTGTACTATTATATGAACCCCCCATAAATTATTCTTAATATGAAGATTATCTTTACATGCAACAAATCCAAAAAAAATGATTGACTTTTTCGGCAGTTGGTAATAGGTGACAACAGATGAGAAAACACAAGTCGGAATTATTAATACTTTTACCATCCTAGCAGTCCAGGTTAAACCATTCTTCTGAAATTCTGTACATCAAAAACGTAACGTACGAAGATGCTGGCTGGTACACATGCCTGGTGACCAACGCCGTGGGGCGAGCTTACCAGAGTGCCTGGCTTACAGTGACAGGTGATAACCTTTCTTTTTCTTTAAGACGACTTTTTGGGATTTAAATAAATGAATGACACTCAATTATTTCGAATTTTAAGTTTTAATTGTAAAAAAATATTCTTACCGTATCAATTGAAATGTTTTGTCAAAGTTTAAATCTATGTGAAAACATAATATATCTAGTCTTATAACTAATGGTCATAATATTTAAATGAGAAAAAATAAGACTTTCTTACTTGATATTTGCTGTAGCTTTGATAAAACTTAATAAAATAATTTCATGACTTTTTTAACCTATCACCTTTACATTGAAGTTTGAGTTAGTTTTCAAAAATTTAGTTTTAAGTCTTGGCTTTTGCACTTGAAGAGACTTGTTTTTTTTATTTTTACATGTTGCTACATCTGACAAGCTTTAGACCTTGATAGAGGTACTAACTAAAAGTTATGAAAAAATATTTCCCAAAGTTTGTGATCTTAAATGGACAGTGCTTTAATATTCATATGTGCATTACCTGTGACAAACACTTTAAGAATATGTTATGATTCATTATACCTTTTGACACTGACTTTTTAATGTTATCTACTTTCCAACAGTTTAAAAGGACATTGTGTGCCCTTAAAGATAATATATATTATGAGATCATGAAGAAAAATTGTCTACAACCCTCGTTACTAAAATACCTAACACAATTAAGATTGTTTAAGGTAGCACAAAACACCCCTTGATTCTAATTTTACTAATCTCTTACAAAATACAGGAGAAAAAAAAAGAATAATAGTACTACATTGACAACAATGAATGACCCGTGTAAGAAAAATAACAAGTTTTGGCATGGTTGCGTCATATTTTGTGAAAAAATCAGAGAATCCTATATGTTGGCCACTTGGAAGTTTACATTTTGGAATGTGTCTACGCTATTTAATTGCAATAAATAAGCATTTAACAGTTTGATATAACATGTAGTGTAACTTTTGTTCAATAAATAGTAGAGGGCTGATATTTGGACATACATATAAGGAGTCTCCGTTCTTTGTGTACTATATAGCTCAAGGTCATATCAAGAGGTCAAATATTGTGACGTCATCTACCGAATATTCAAATTAATTTTTTTTTTTTGTCCATTTAAATTTTTTAATCGCCAAAGTTTCAGAAAATACCGAGTCGATTTTGTTGATTTTTACACAATTTATTCTGGCACCAATTCTAATCATTCTGTTAATTTTTTTTTGCAAAAATTGAATAATACATTTTTTCTTTAGAAAACTTTAGGTGTAGGATATTTACATGTGAATTTTTAATTCCGACGCTATGTATGTTCCATTTTGACTTAATATTTTTTTCAAATGGTCCAGTATCAATATGACTTACTATGTTAAAGTAACAAAATGGTTTTCTTTATTAAAATTATAACACAAACTTACAATAGATCAATTGATAATTCTTAAATAAGGCTCATTCTCAAGTCGAGTGACTGATTTCACAATCTTCTTACAGGGGTCTGATAGGCAATATTTCAGACAATGTGGGTAAAATATGTGCGGTTGAATTTCTTTCATATTATATATTAAGAGAGATTTTGTATCCTAGAACAAAATATCAAAGTTTCCGAAAAATTGATTTTGAGGAAAACTTTGGCCTATTTATTGTGTCCTACCTTAAAGCATTTCAAGCGATATTCAGAGTTGAAATTCAGCCATTAGCATATTTCAATTTTATACACTGTTACTGACGGTATCAACGACAAACGCTGAAAAGTACGAAAATGCTTTACAAATTTAGTGTGCTTACCAATTATTTAACAAAAATTGAATGCATAACTTCTTAAGTATGAGGCTTTTAATTCTAAACCTTTTTAAAATTTTAGAAAACACAAGTCTGAATTATTAATAAAAATTGCAGCTTTGATTACAGTTTAAAATGGGGATATTATTTGTAAAGTCTGACATCCTTTACAGAATATATAAAAATAAACTTCCATATACAGCAAAACTCATTTAGTACGAATACAGATATAGCGAATTTACGGATATAGCGAAGTTGTCTTTGATCCCCAGCTTTATAATTTAATGACTTCCTTATACGGTTACAACGAATTAGGGATATAACGAAGTAATTTCATAGGTCCAAATGACTTCGTTATAACCGAGTTCTGCTTTAGAGATTAATATTTCAAAATATAAACATAAACAGAGTGCTACTGTTTTAAATTTGTGAAAGATATATCGAATATATTGAAAAGATGACATTGAATTGTATTGTGTAAACAAGTTTCTTCGTCTTCGCCGCGTCTCCATTATTATTATCGCTGCCGTTTTACAATTTCTCATATATTGCAGATTTTCTCAATGCTTAAGTTTAAACATATAAGGTTAAATATTCAACTTCAAATCGATAAAATCGATGATTGAGAAGTCTTTAAGAAGTATGTACATCTGGTATTCAAATAATTAATTATTTACTTAATTAAAAATCTGCGAATAGCACATTCATATAAAACAAAAATATATTTGTGTGAATAAACAAACTTAATCAATCCGCTTCAAATTATAACCATAATGCATGATGACATATTACAGACATTAACGCCATTTTATAGAGAATCAGCCCGTTCGAAATATAGTAAAAAATTTATCAGAATGATTTAACACCGTTGTGGATAAAATAAAAAGATATAACATGTAACCTAACATTACTCTTACCACTTAAAAAGTATTATGACATATCGCATCAAGGTAGTTCATGGAGGATACCACAGAATGTGCATTGAGATATTATACTAGCCGCAAACTGTAAGATCCATTTATTCTACCAATCTACAGATCTTCCAACTGTTACAAGCTTAATATTATTTTTTTTTCGGGGGGGGGGGGGGGGGGGGGAGGGGTTGACATTCATATGTCATATTACAATACATTGTCAATGCATTGTATATTTCTTAATTAAGTAACAATTGAATAAATCGCACGAATGAAAGATAAAAAAAGAATTTATAAATAGATTTATATATATCCCGAGGGTTTTAAGGTTTTGCTAAATGTCAAGATATCCAAATATCTTTATTTTTACTATAGCTCCAAAACTATGTGAGATATAATGTAATTTTTAAAATTAATAATTTCTAGTATATCATTTATAAACAGATTGAAAGTTTCACTTAAAAACAAATATTCAAAAAATATATATTGATTGAAAATATATTAAAAAAGCATTTTGTAAATAATTACAGAAGCTTAATTCTGTACTTCAATGAAAATAATATGCACCGTTGAATGAATAATATATGTTTATCATTAAAGTGATTGGTCTCTGAAATGCTATTAACAAAAGCATGACATGTATAAAGACAAGAACCCTGTAAAACATGTTATTTGAAATGCATGTTTGGTTTCAGATCTCAACATTTGGACAACATAAACAAGCTAGGAAAACAACTTTTCAGAGTTTATTAAAGTCCAACTTGCGCTTCATTGATAAGCATATATTGTTTTGGAAATTATGGCTTTCACTAAATGAACGGATTTGACAAGATGATGTTTTTTAAAAGGACATTTTTTCAAAGAATTTTTCTCAATAATCACTTTTTGTGGCCAAGTGATACTTTCTCTCTGTTAATCAGTGTTTCTTTATGTCTAAATGTACACATTTATAATGAACATGTAGTTTGGAGCTTTCGTAAAAAAAAAAATGGTGATGTCGTTTTGGCAAAACCATATGATGTCTTGATTTGCTAGTACTTCTGCTGCTTTGTCTTTCTTTCTTTGTTTCTTCAACAGTTCCTAGCACGCTGGCAAAGAGAACAATTTTTGGTATGTTGATTTTAAGAACATGAGAGTTATTTTCTAGTGTATGACGTTTTGAAAGTTTTGTTTCCGGTTGAAAGAAATATTACTGAATGTTTACAATCAAAATCATAATTGTGTTTTTATTTTAAAATACCTAATGAATAAATGATAGTTTTAAAAAGTTAAGTTATTTTTCGAGATTTGCACGAATTGCAAGAAAAAAGTAGATGTAGTCAGGATTTTAAATATCTTTGTTAAACCTTTATATATGTGTATCTACGTCAATTTTTTCTTTGTTTATTATTTAGGTACTAGTACATTAGCAGAAAATCTAGAAGAAAAATATGAGTTACCAAAAACAGCAATTTTTCGTGAGTTGATTTCAATAGCTCTATATTATGCTTGTTAAACAAAGCTTTAAAAGGACTTTCCTCCTTGATATATTTTCCCTATCATTTTATCGAAATCTTTCCTATTTTATTCATATGTCTTCTTTTTAAATTTGATATGTAGAAATTATGTCCTCAGATCAGTTTGAATGTATAATGTATATATGTTATTTGAACTCTATGTACCAATCTTGGTTTGGGTGAATAAAACGAACTTGAACTACGAATATAATTCCTTATATATGTATATATAGTTCACAAATATTTTTTTTTTTATTTCTTAAAACATTCATTAAGGGAATGTTTTTCTTGTTTGTTTTTTTTTTTCATCTCATTAATTTTCAAAGTGTATCATTATCTAACAAATTATTAAAATTAATTCCAGTGTTATTCCGGCCGAAAGTAACATAAGTTCAAAACGAGATGTATATTACAATGAATGCGACCACCTAGAAATTGCATGATCTTATTGCAATACCTTTCTGTTAAATATAAAGAATGTTTTTTCTGTTTCAGTTGCATCAGAATCTGCTCTTCTTTTAATAGTCGTTGTGGGCTTCGCTATATATAAAATAAGGTATGTATCATTAGCCATAATTGTAATTCTAATTGAATTAAAATGTTTCTATTTATGCGCCTGGAACGAAAGATCCGAGGCGTATATTGTTTTTGTCTTGTCTGTCTGTCTGTCTAGCTGTCTGTTTGTCTGTTTATCTGTTTGTCTGCAAACTTTTACCTTCGCTACATAATCCACTAATTAATCTCCTTCAAATGACACCAAGGTCGATGACCTTGTGAAGAAGACTGTGATCAATATGCTAAAAATAGTTTTTTTTTTTCTGTAAACTTTAACCTTTGCAATAATTTTTGGACCATAAAAGTTAGATACTTTATATTTTGTAAGCATACACCTCTCATTAAATTCTTTAAAATGACCCCATAGTCAATGACCTTTTGACCTTGACTCTGACCTTTATGCTAAATATACACTTTTTTGTCGTCAAACTTTAACCTCTGCCTTAACTTTTGAAAGAAGAAAGATAGGGACTTTTAGGCACGCATACTCCACTAGTTAAGCACTTTCACATGCTATCAAGATCAATGACTTTGTGACCTTGGCTGTGTCCTTTATGCTAAAAATAGCTTTTTTGAACCTTCACCTTAATTTTGAACCATGAGAGATGGAGACTTCATATTTGGTAAGCATTCTTCACTGATCAAGTTCTTTCAAATGACACCCAGGTTAATGACCTTGTGACCTTGACTGTGACCTATATGCTAAATTTTTTTTTTAACTTTGTTGCCACCGAGTGCATAGTGTTTCACAAACACATCTTGTTTATTCTTTGAAGCACCATAAAATACGATAAAATGCAAAACTAAGATCCAGTAATTTTTATTTACCTGTTCTTGGTCCAACACCTCGAATTTGCAAATCCACGGTTAACTGAATTGAATTAGTCGTAAAAGTCTAAATAATAGCCGAACTACTTAGGATTTTTACTCTACAAAGAAACTTTTAAACTCAATTTTTTTTTTGCATGAATTAGATATCCGTAGAAGATAAAAATGAAGCTGTATATCTTAGAACACGGTAATTACCTTTTTAAGCAATTCAAACTGCTGTCCTTTTCAGAGCAAGAACTATGCAAAAAAGAAGAAAAAAGTATTTTTGCATCCAAGCTATCCCAAATTCCGAAAATCCTCCATACGAAGCTGCCCTAACCTATTCAGGTGGTCTGTATCTTGACCCATATTTTGAAACCCATTCAGAGCAAGATGAGGGTTATGAATTTTTGCCAGTACTAGCGGAAACATATGGGGATGGACCTTACACAGATCCAAACAATGCAGATGGAAGATATCTAGATGTGGTGTTCAGTAAAAATGGACCTAATGACTACATTAATGCTCATACTTACCTTGATTTAGAAGGAGATACAACATACAGTCATTCTAAATCAAATGATACGGGTGTTTGCCAATCAGAGGTGTCAAATTCTGTAAAAGATAACCCTGGTAACCATACCATAAAAAGTAATAATGATCTTGATGATGATTTATGACTGTTACATATAGGTGATGTATTTTGTATTTTGAAATCATTCTTTAAAATTCCTCTTATATATTGATGTATTGCTACAAAGGTAAGAGAAGTTGACTATTGAAAAGTTGAGGTCATCTTGTTTATCATAAAGCTTTTTTATAAGTTTGCCATTAATGTATTTCTAGAAAAATATTTAAATACCGGGGGAATGATGCAAATGTTTCAAACTCTAATATGTCATTTATTTGAAACTCACTAAGATACATCGAATCGACATATGAGTTGAGGAAAATATTTTTTATTGATATTGGGTCCTTGGTATATCTAAATGTCGACTTAGAAGCCACAACAAATGTTTTCTTCTTCTTATATATAGGGTTTTGACAAAAAAATGATTTATACGATGACAAACTAGATCTGTCGACAATAAAGAGCAATTGTGGCAGCAAATGCACAAAGTCCAAGTTTTCATAGAAAATAAAAGACCCTTAAAAGTGCCATCAGACGATGAAAATAAAGATAACTAGATACTCTTGTTGCTATAACAACAAAAGAAGTCTTCCGTTCTTATCTACGAGGGTTGTCCCGTAAAATCGTGGACAAAGCGTTTTTTTTTTCAAAAAAAAAATAATGGACGTAATAAGCTGAAATTTTCAGTGAATGTTTATTTATCATATTTAAGTTAATTATTATGTTTTGGATAAAATATACACAAAAATATATATTTTATAATGCTTGAATGTGCACAGGGTAAGGCCCTACGGCGCACGGTCAAAAAACGAAGGTTTTAGAAGAGAATATGAGTATTGATTTGTAACAAAAGATTTAGATAGATAAGATTAGGGTTAAAATTATCCTTATTCAATTCAACAATTTATTTTGTTGTCTTCTTAAAATTTTCGATGCATTTGGTCAATTTTTGACATGGGAAAGTGGTGAACACAACACACGAAAATTGGTGACGTTTGGTGACGTTACGGCGCACCGGAGATCAGTTCGTTATGATTTAGATGTTGTAATAACGCCGTATAAAACTTTAAATGAATACAGAAGATAAAAATTCCCCAAATATTGCCAAATCTTAAGTATATAAATGAAATGGGAGTTTTCTGAGTAAAGACTTTCTTGATCGAGTCCCGAGGTAGTAGAAGACATACAGACAAACTACAATTGTAATAGCTTAAGACGCTGAAAATGTTGACCGCGTCAATATAAGATTGTCTATTAATTGAATGATGTTGGAATATTGTCAGAATCTTAGTTACTGTAATGAATCATCAGAAGATCGTACATTTGTGCCAGATTGGTTCCTCAATTGTTGATGGAGACTTAAGTATGTGCTTCAATGAAATTTTGAAATTTAAGTGGGACTTATCCAACTTTATTTTTAGTGCAAAGATGAAACTTGAGGTACCTGACGCTGTTTTAGGCACTTTGACGTTATCATCCGTGCGCCGTAAGACGATACAATACATAATATTAAATCTCATAATTTGTTTATTTTTGCATATATCTATTTGAAATTTGCTATATTTATTCAGAAAATATGTACTAAGAAGTAGTGAAAATATCAGAACGCAGTGATGATTATTATTCATGCGAGACAACTTGTCCACGATTTTACAGGACAACCCTCGTATTTATCTGTATGAATACATTTTTTTCTATGTTAAAAAAACAGACATATATTATTACAAATAATACTAGCTGAAAAAGAAATAGAAAACAGAATTCACATTCTGAGTACAGGAAAACAAACGACCGGAAGTGTATATCACCAAGATTCTCGATGTTACTAAACCCATTTGTAGTCTTGATAACAAATGTAAAATCATTTCAAATACCTTATCTGTAAACAAATTCATTGGAAAAATAAATGCTCAAGATATTTAGTTTTTATCTTATAACCGGAAGTTGGCTTTTTTGTTTCCTACGTGAGATGGACATATTAAGAAACTACAAATAAGCTGCAAATAAATGATGCAACAGCATATCCAGAAAGGAAAGTTGAATTTCCGATTCCTATGATTACTTCCTGTTAGGACAGGAAGTGATGGCTGACATATTTAACCCAATTATGCGTACTCCTCAAGGTTTATTTTTCCTATATTTAGTATGGTGTCTTATTACCGTTTCTGAGATCTTTCTATGATCACTTCACATTTTGAGAACAGGATAACACACTACCGGAAGTAAATTTTGTAAAAGATATTTGACGTACTCTAGGCATTTTTTGTTTAAATAATAAATCTTAAATTCATTTCAAATATTTCGTCTATAAAAGATATTCATTGCAAAGAAAAACACTCAAATCATGGAGTTTTATCACTTATAACAGGAAGTTGTCATTTTTTCGTTTCCGATGGGGCTGACATATTTCAAATATTAGATGCAATAAAGTAATGCAAAAAGATGCAAAATTAAAAGATTATTTTTTTTTTTAATTTTTTATCACCTCCCGTGAAGGTCGGAAGTGACGGCGGCCCTATATCTGTTGCCCACTCTTCAAGGTTTATTATTCATATAAGTTAAGTGTCTTGATCTGTTACAGGTTCGGAGATCTCACTATGTTAACTTCTCATTTTGAGGACAGGAAATCACGTGACCAGATGTAAATTTAAAAAAAAAATATTTGACATTGTTGTAGACATTTGCAGTCTAAAATAAAATGTCCGAAAATCATTTCAAATACTCTATCCATAAAAGAAATTTATGAGATAGTATGACACTTATGCAATTTTTCTCTCATAACCGGAAGTTGTAGTTTTTGTTTCCAGTGGGACTAACATATTTCAAAACATCAAATAAGATACAATAATGTGATCCCAAGAAGGATTCCGAAAACAAAAGTTGAAATTTTGTTTTATTTGATCACATCCTGTGACGACCAGAAGTGACGATGGGCAACCTTATCCCAAATAGATTCGTGTACTCATTAAGATCTACTAATCCTATAAGTTTGGTGTCTTAATCTTTTAGCGTTTCCAAAATCTAGCTATGATAGCTACTCATTTTGAGGACACGAAATCACGTGACCAGAAGTGTCTTTTACAAAGATATTTGACGTTACTAAAGACATTTGCAGTCTGAATAATATATCCAAAAATCATTCTTAATACTTCATTTATTAAAAATATTTATGGGAAAGAAAAATACTCTAATTATGTAGTTATTCTCTTATAACCGGAAGTTGTCGTTTTTGTTTCCAGTTAGACTGACATATTTCAAATCTACAAATAATATTCTTTAACATGTTTAATGAGATGCAAAAAAGATTCAAAAAAGAGAAGTTGAAATTTTCGATTTCTATGATCATTTCCTGTGATGACCGGTAGTGGCGGCAGACAATCTTAACCAAAATAGATTTGGATACTTATCAAGATCAATCATCCCTGAGAGTTTGGTGTCTTAATTTCTTACCGTTTTTGAGATCTCATTCGAAAAAAATATTCTTGAAAAAAAAAAATCAGACTTATCTGACGACAGGGAGTCAATTTTGAAAAAAAAAAAATGGACAAAAAAAAGTTTCGGGGTATTTTCATTCTCTATCATCCCTGAAAATTTCAGAAAAAAAACCCGTCCAGCTATCTCCGTGAAATCTTGCCGACAACACTTGGGGAAATAATAGTTAAAAGAAACTAGAATTTTTTTGTTTTTACAGCAATGAAAAAGGTCTTCCATTCTTCTCTATTTATCTGGATCACCCCTACTAATGTTTTTTTTGTGATTTAAATTCAAGCCACGTGGTTTAGGTTTGTTTACTTATTCAACGGTTATAAGGTAGGACCGGTTTTATAAATAAAATTGGCAGTAAACAGGAAATTGGTATAGTATGTTTGTTTTGAAACATGTCCTATGAAAAATGTGTTTCCAGACCTTCCTGAAAGATTTTCATGATTTTCAACAGAAATGAGTGGCTAAAGGGGGGGGGGGGTTAAATAACAATTCATATATCTTATCATAGTTTACTGAAAAATTTACAGCTCACTACCGACCGATACGCTAGTAAAAAAATGAATAATATCATCTACACTGACAAACCTTTGTTTGCCATATATGGCTATTGCTATTAATGCGCACAGATGATCTTACCACGAGCAACTGACCAATTGTTGATTGAATACGTTTACGCAGTTACATGTTTACATCTTACTTCGAACACGTGGTTCAGGTCAATCTATATTCATGTCAATGGAGTGCAAAAAAAGTTCTTACGAACAAAATGCAAACATTAGAAACTATATATGAAATATATCACGGGCGTTTTTAAATTGTTGTTAACTAGAAAAAAATTTTTTGATAAAATGTATACGTAGTTACATTGTAGTGTCAAGTTCAGAACACCCTGGCACGTCAGGGGTAAGGAAAACGATCAGCTTCCCGTATGCATTTAAATGGACAAAACATTTTTACGAGGGTTGTTCGATATGTATTGTGTATTATACCACAGCGCGATAACGCCTTGCACGATTTCGTTGATATTTATACGCCTGGATAACTCTAATCAATATCTTGCCAACAGTATAAATACGAGCCTTCAACTACACATGGTTATAAAATAATCTTAATTTCAATAGAGCCAGTCATTGACCACTGTTATAAAAATGGTTGGGAAACGGGTTGAGAATATAAAAGAAATTAGAGCTTATATAAAAGTTCGCACAAAAATCGGTAATTTGGTAAAGCAGATTTTTACTGAATTTGGGGAAGTTTATAGGTCTGATAAGGTATCTTATGGGACAGTTCGTAGATGGAGACAGAAATTTTTGACTGGTACAAAGTCCGTCAAAGATGCAGCAAAATCTTGTCGACCTGTGACTGTATCAGGCAAGACAAATGTCCCAAAAGTCAAGGAAATAATTGAAAGTGATGGCAGATACACGATTTGTGATATTGCCAAAGCTATTGGGATATCGTTATCGCGGGTGCATTTTACTTTGAAGCGTATTTTAAAAGTACGAAAGGTTTCTGCCGGATGGATATCCGAATTATTGACAGATGACCAAAACAGGTACGAATACAAACTGCTAAGCGACTGCTAAAAATGTTTCAAAACTTCAATCAAAGACAATTTGCAAACATAGTTACTGGTGACGAAACATGGGTTTACTATTTCGAACCAGTAAGAAAAGTTGGAAACAAATTATGGCTAACCAAACACGGTAGAAGGCCTGTAGTTGCCAAAAGGACAATGAGCACAATGTAGGTCCTTTATTGCATATTCTTCTCTTGTGATGGTTTAGCCGTACAAATTCCGGTGCCGAAGGGCAAAAGTGTTACAGGTCGGTATCACCGAGATGTTGTACTGAAAAAGCTCAAGAAATATTATCAGAAACGACGTCCTGTATCGGGATTTAGGCATGTTCGCCTTCTTCCTGATAATGCTCCACCACATACATCTGAGCTTGTGAAGCAATTTTTGAAGTCTTAGAAGGTTACCATCTTGCCACACCCATCATACTTTCCAGATCTAGCACCATGCGACTTTTTCTTTTTTC